TGTTTTCTACATTTAGATTCAGATACTGTGTTGTAGTGTCCGTTCATGGATCTCTGATAGCTAATGTGTATGTGCGACTACTCCTTCCAAAACCCCGTTGCCACTATCCGCTTCATGGTCTCATGGAGGTCGTTGATGGTTCTGGAAGGATTAATTTTGCACTAGCCAAAGAATACTTACCCATTCACACGAGGTTGTATTCAACTTTCCATCACAACTTGCATATAAAAGAATAAAAAATAAAAGAGTAATACTAGGTAAACTAAATTTATACACTAAATTTACAAACTAAATGACGTGTCACCAATAAAAAATAAGCACGTTAATCAACACTTAGTAATAATCCAATCATCAACTTCAATTTCATTTTATTTACAAACTTTAGTATACGAATGTAGCCTCCCCAGCATTTCACTAAAAATAGTAAAATAACTAGTATTTTCTCATATATTCTAACACATGAATAATATTCTTTTAAAAAAATCACTCGATAATTTTCCAATTACAGCAGCAAAAGATGCATGTTGTTACAGTCAGTCTAATTTTTGCACTTGACGTCATCCATCCTTCATAATATAGAAGAAAAATCTAGCCATTTTTTAATTAAAATGACAATGTCACTTGCAACTCCAATATTACTATCATAAAAAAAAATATTGTTGTGAATGTTTTGAAGAAAGAAAAAAAAAGATACAATAAGTTAGAGGAGTAAAAAAAAAGATACAATAAGTTAGAGGAGACATGAAGCCTTACCCTAACAAGATGAAGAAAACTATTAGAAACAAAATTCAATTAAGACAACTCCTAAGAGAAACGAAAATTTGGAAGCCCCAAAAGATTATTAGCAAATCCCGCAACTATGCACCGTTGGTCCGTTTGTGCAGCTCAATTTAATCGGAGTTGTTGAGTCCATAACCGAACTTCTAAAGTATTCGTATTCCAATTCGTCTTACTTCAGCTCCAAAAAATCATGTCCCACACCGTTTTTTACATAAATAGTCATTGCTCTTTATAATCTAGTCACAAGCTTATAAAGGGATGAAACCCCTTCTGCATATAATTCATAGTCTATGGCAATCGTAACATTTTTCTTAAAAGTGCTAATAACAATAATTGATGGTTTTCAATGGTAGACAAATCCAAAACTAAAATCAACCTTAATAATCTCAAAGCCAACCTCCTCTCCATAAACCCTAAACTAGAGCCCCACATATATTCTAAACCAAACCCACACAAGTAGGGACCCACTACATCTTAATCGAATAATCCATTTCTTTTATTTTAATCGAATAATATGTTTCTAGTGGTATTCTTCTTCATTTGTAAGTGAGAGGTATTAGATTCGATTATCGTCAAAAGCAAATTTAAATCACATTTTTATTGGCTTATTGTAGGGCTTAGCCCACTTATGTACTCTCATAGTGTGAATAATATTGTTTGTTGGAAAAAAAAAAAACCAGCCTTTCGCACAAGTTCGGTGTGTGCAATTTGCTTTGTGATTAGAGAGTATATTAAGAGAAGGAATTAAAATAAAATCCTTTTAAATTTATTCAAAAAAAAAAAAAAACTTTTAAATTGAAAGACAAGGGCAACGTGTCTTTTTACTGGAATTTACAAATCAAAACCAAGTTACAATTATTGGTTAAAAAGTCGAAAAACAAGGGCGACTTGAGGTTTGTTGTTGCAGACAAAATGACCCAAGGTCAAGACTTTTTACTAAAATGAGTAATTTGCCCTTAACATAATTTCTTATTCTTAAGATTTTTATTAAGTAAGGGTATTTTGGACTTTCAAACTATTAAAATAACTGAATTGTCTTTAAGATATTTAATTGATTGTTAATGAGATTTTTATTGACCATAGATATTGAGTGGTGCTATCTACACACATTTTTTACCTCTCACACACTCTTTATTAATTTTTGTCATTTGATTTTCTTCAAGTCTTTCAACTTAGTGGCCGAAAATTGAAAGTGATATGTGAAAAGTAAAAAAATGTGCGTGAATAACACTACCTTAAGTATTTTAGGGTTCTGCCACTATTTTGTTTTTTTATTAAGGTTGTTGGCTTTATAAAAACTTACAAAAAAATGTCTATATATGTCTATAGTATAAATTAAGTATAGTGTACAAAATAATGTGTATAAGATATTACCTCTATGCCTTGCGTGTCTATTATTTGCTTTTCTCACATTTTTCCTCTTTCCCATGTTTTTAATTTTAATGTGCTCAATAATTTTAGCCCATTATCACAAAAGTAACAATATTATAGCAAACAAAACAAATTTGAAGAGTTCTTTTATGCCGCACTTTAACTTCTTCCTCCGCAATCTTAAGTTGAGCCAAATAGGATAGAGAAATGTGCTTCACTATCTATACCAAAGTTGAGTACCCACATTGTAGTCTAAATGAATTTGAAATAGTTATTCTATAATCACTAAGTATTTCGACTTAACAATATTTCTTTCACTTATAAAATGAGTGGTCTTTAAGTTTAATTCTAACGTGCAAGACGAGTTCAATACTAGTTTATTCCTTTAGCCCATATGACTTTTGTAGTAAGCCAAAAAAAAAAAAAAAAAAAAAAAGTGACCGTGATACCAATATATTGAACTAATATAAGAATCACACTTCTATAGTGGGTCAAAAACTTGAGTCTGATATCAATTTATTGAATTCTTGAGTTTAATATATCAAACTCATGAGTGTGGTATTGAACTCACACTAGTGTAGGAGTAGTGTTATAGAAATCAAATTCAAGATGTCTGATTCCTATATATAGGTATTACACTCACATGAATTATTGTGGAATGCCTTAGACCTTTACAGTAGCTCGAAAAAAAGTGAGTGTGATACTAATATAATAAACTCATATAGGAATCACTCCAAGTGTAGGTTGAAAATTTTGAGTATGATAGTAATACATGGAACTTATGAGTGTGATATCAATATATTGAACTCACACTAATATAGTAATACTGTTATAAGTATCAAGTTCAGATGTCTGATTCTTATGTAAAATTATGAAAGACCTTAATATATACCTGTCATGGTATATATACAAAATTATTCCCTAAACCCTAAATCTTGAATCAATTTTCAAGTTTGTCCAAATATAATTTTGGTTTATTAACCCATTTATTAGGTTTTAAAGAAAATGATTGAATATAAATGATTAATAAACCCAATATGTATTAATTTGTTGGCCAAATTTATGGCGACGTGCCCACTTCTTTTGAATTTCCAATCATTGTCGAAACCGTTGCATGCAATCTAACGTTCTCTATGGATTGGAAACGGCAGCACTTGGATGCTGCCGCGTCCCATCCACCACGGTGCACACTACTCGAAAAAATCGAATCAACGGCTGCGAGATGATCACATTATCAAAAATCACATATCAATATCTTTTTAGAATCGGCGTAGGATGGTGGCTGCCTATCAATGAGTAGGACGGCGTCGCATGGCTGCCCGTAGAACGATACTATCTCAGCCGTCCATCTGGAAAATATAAAATGTTATGATGATGATATTGATGTGGTTGTTAAAAGTGAAAGCCGCTTTTGCAGGAGTTGCAGCAGCACTACTCATCCACTTCTCGTCAGTAGTAAGTCAGCAAGTACAATCAACGGCCCAAAATCCAGGAAGTTGCCTCCCTAAACAGAGGGCATCAAATGCGCCACGTCGTCAAGTTTCACTTCCATTAGATTTGGGAATATCTAAAACCAATTCATTCGGTTTCCCAAAAAAAAAAAAAAAAAAAAAACCAATTCATTCTATTCGCTTGTTCTCTCGTCAGGTTACGTCGAAAAAGATTTACATGTGACGGACTATTATTTCGTGGCATTTTTTTTTCCTAATAATGCATTTAATTATGTAAATAACTCTTTGTATAATAATAAATTATTTTTTATTCTTTAAAAAGAAGATCAGTCGATGATTTTGTTACAATAATTTATGTTTTTGTAGGATATAAAGACTTTACATATTATCAAATTAATAAAAAATTTTATTTAAAGGAAAGTGTTATTGGCATTCCAAAAATCTAATTTTACACTCTTCATAAGTGTATTTATATTTCCAAATATAGAAAATTTTCTATATTTAAATTGAGCTCTCTTACATTAGACTCATGTATGTATGTATGTACGTACGTACGTATGATGATGGGATGGATGGATGAGAGAAGGGGGATTAAATTGAAGGGATAATGATTAGAAGTGGGGTGATGATGGCAAACGCCTCCTTTCCAGTAGAAATAAATGATAAAAACTTCGAAAAAACAAAACCAAGACTGCGCGCAGCCAAAGCCGCCATTTTCCCTTTTATTTCTTTTATCTGTTATGATTTTTGTTTTTTTTGGGATTTCTTATTTACTAACCCCCCATTATTCTTTTTTACGTTTAACATCATTATTACTCTTATTATCTGGCCATATCATTTTGAAATTAAAATTTGTAAAAACAACCACCAAAGTTTTGTTTCCTTTAAAAATAGAAAAATGAAAATTTTGTTTACAAGGAAGTACAGGATGACAATTATGAAGTACGAGTTATTATTAGTATTATTATTTTTTATATTATCATATGTAGTATAGAACTAGTGCTAGTGTGTTTTTTTTTGTATTGGAGAGGAGACGGAAAAGCTAAAATAGACGGGGACAGAAGAGAAAAGGGGAGATAAAAAGACATAAAAACAGACCGCACTTAGCAGCACCGAATTTAACAAAGCTTTCTGCCTTTTGTGCCTTTTGTTAATTTAATAAAATCCAAAAAGTAGAACAAAAAAAAAAAAGAGATGGTGGAGAGATGAAATTCTATAGAGAGAGAGAGAGAGAGAGAGAGAGAGAGAGAGAGAGAGAGGGAAATAGGGTAAAGGAAAAGCCCAAAAAATCAGGTATTTAAAGGGAAGGGGAATGGGAAGGGTACTTGTATCTCCACAATCATGCACTAAAAACGGCCCTCTCTCTCTCTCTCCTCTTCCGAGTTCCATCCCAATTCCAAAAACAAATTCCCAACTTTTCGTTTTTCAGATTAATTTCCGAAATCTAACTTTAAATTAGTGGGGATTTTCCGAAATGTAATTCTAAATTATGGGGGATTTGTTTTTAATGTTTTGGAGGATTTTAAGTGGGGCCCGCAGAAACCTGAAGCCTATATATGGTATTGTGATGATGGAGGTGAGATATACAGCTACTCTGCTTACCCTTTCTTGCTTACAACTCACGTTATTTCCGCTCTCTCACTCCCCCTATATAAACACACACCTTCTTCTTCCCCTTCCCTTCACCTCCGTCATGAAAAACTCCGGTGCGCCGAGTAACTAATCCGGACGACTTCGTTCTGATATACGCACCCCAATTCGATCATTAAATATGGGTGAGGATAACGGAAGGGTTTTTAGTTTAGTGGTGAGGGAGTTCGACCCGAGCAAGGACTGCGAAATGGTACAAAACGTCGAGAGGCGGTGCGAGGTCGGTCCCAGCGGCGGACTCTCCATATTTACCGACCTCCTCGGCGACCCGATTTGCAGGGTCCGCCACTCTCCTGCCTATCTCATGCTGGTATGTAATAACAAACAACCGGCCAACCGTATTTCATCAACTTCTTTTCTTCCCAAAAATTAAACAAAGAATTGATTGGTTTAACTTAGTTTACAAATATTTGGTGCTGATTATTTGAGTTTTTGTAGGTGGCAGAGCTGGTGGGGGAGGACAAAGACAAGGAGATAGTGGGGATGATAAGAGGTTGCATCAAAACCGTTGCATGCGGCAAGAAACTCTCTAGAAATGGTAAAAACGTTACCGCTGATGATGTCACTCTCAAGCCCCTCCCTGTTTACACCAAACTCGCCTACATCTTGGGCCTCCGTGTCTCTCCTTTTCACAGGTACACTACTTACCACTCTACACACCCACCTATTTTTTCGCCCCACCCGACTTAGATAGACCAGATACACAATTACAATAACGTCATATTATAACGTTCCAAAGTGACATTGTGTTACTGATGGCGGGTGTGCCTATTTTTTTAAATATTTATTTATTTATTTATTTATTTTTATTCTGTTACAGGAGGATGGGAATAGGGTTAAAGCTAGTGCAGAGAGTGGAGGAGTGGTTTCGAGAAAATGGGGCGGAGTATTCGTACATGGCCACCGAGAACGACAACCAAGCCTCCGTCAACCTCTTCGTCGACAAATGCGGCTACGCCAAGTTCCGTACGCCCACCATCCTCGTCAACCCGGTCTACGCCCACAGGGTCAAGCTCTCCTCCCGCGTCACCGTCATCCACCTGTCCCCCTCCGACTCTGAGGCACTCTACCGCCGCCGGTTCTCCACTACAGAGTTCTTCCCCCGCGACATTGACTCCGTCCTCAGCAACCGCCTCAGCCTCGGCACTTTCCTAGCCGTGCCGCGTGGAAGCGTGACGGCGGAGACGTGGCCCGGCGCGGATCACTTTTTGGCTGACCCGCCCGAGTCCTGGGCCGTCCTCAGCGTATGGAACTCAAAGGACGTTTTCACGTTGGAGGTCAAAGGCGTGTCGCTCGTGAAACGCATGCTCGCGAAGACGACGAGGTTGGTGGATCGGGCCCTTCCGTGGATGCAGCTGCCGTCGGTGCCGGACATTTTCAGGCCGTTCGGGGTCCACTTCTTGTACGGGCTCGGAGGGGAGGGCCCACTCGCGGCGAAGTTCGTGAAGGCGCTGTGCGGCCACGCGCACAACTTGGCGAAAGAGCGCGGGTGCGGGGTTGTGGCGACGGAGGTGTCGAGCCGGGAGCCGCTTAGGTTAGGAATCCCGCACTGGAAGAGTCTGTCGTGCGCCGAGGATTTGTGGTGCATCAAGCGGCTAGGGGAAGACTACGGTGACGGCTCTGTCGGTGACTGGACTAAGTCGCCACCCGGCATGTCTATTTTTGTCGACCCCAGAGAAATATAATTCCGTAAAGAATCCAAATTAGTTTCCAACTTTTATCCTTTTATTTTTTTTTTCAATTTTATTTTGGGTTTTAAATTTTGGGGTTGCCATTGTAACATCCCTGTGGCCCTAGGTCGGTAGACTAAGCAAATGTTGGGGGTGGGAATAGAAGAGATGAAGGAAGAGGAAAGGATACGGGGTTTTTTTGAGTTGTAAAATGGAATATGCAATCCCCTCAACTTTGTATTTTCCTTTTGTTAGCCAATGTATCTTTTTTGTAAATTGATGTGGCTTTTTAGATCCTCTTCTGGCCAAACGCAGCCTTTGGTTTCTTGTGGGGTTCATTTATCTTTTCTGGGTTTTGCTTTACCAACTTTCCAAAACAACAATTCTCTTCAATCTCCAAAAATGCGATTCAGAACAGAATTGATTTCGACACACTTTATTCTTATTTTTTGTTATCGTTAAATCAAATAAAATAAAAAAATTAACGAGTAAAAACAAAGTGTGCATAAAGAGAAAATCCAAAAGTGGGTAGAGTCGTTTATCAACGAGGAAATCTTAGGCTATGTGACCCTTGTTGGAATATCCCTCTTCAATTTGTGCATGCAAAAGAAAAATTGGGAAAGCATATAAGCATAACTAAAGCTTTTTCCCAAATCACTTTTGGAGAGTTGATTATACCATATCATTTGTCCTTGATTATATGCTAGGTAGGAGAAGGGGGTCCTTTTTCCTAATTCTCTTTTTCGTTAATTATGTTCTAATTATTTAGTATCTTTCCGGTTAAGGGTAGTGGGAATATTATCAACATTGTGATATTGACTAGACTCTAAATTTATGGGACGTATTAGTACTAATGTCACATTCATATTCACTTGTATGACAAGATGCACATATCATATAACTTAACAAACATTTATATATAAATAGGGACGAATTCATGGACCATTTTTTTACTTAACTGTTGATGTAGGTTTTTGTGGGATCCACTTTGTAATATATTTTAATGATCCAAACTATTCATCTTTTAGGCCTTCCCCCAAAGATCATGTCTACAAACAATCACTCAAATTTAAATCCATATGATCGTTGGATTAAGGGTGAGTTTCTTGGTAGAACCGTATTCATACACTTTTTTCATTGCAAATGAATGTCTTAATGGTTTTCGGTTTGTCTAATTTTATGCAAGGATAAACATGAATGATGTACTAAAAAATAGGTGATTAGGATCGATAACCTACATTACGAAGTAGGACCCACAAAAACATGTACAAAATTGTGTAAAAAAATAGTGCCACCAATTCGTCCCTATATAAATAAATAAAATAATATATATATATATATATATATTAAGCTAGCAGGCTTTTGAACAGTGATTTTTGGTGTCACATGCTTCACCAAAAAAAAATTGGACATAAATGCCCCTCAAACAAAAAACTTGAAAAGCAGTCCAAAATAATGCATCAAATGTGGCAAGGGTATTTTCGTCAATTTAACAGTGTTTTTAATAATTAATTTTTGTGTGCAGTTTTTTATTTATTTATTAGTATCTCACAATAGGCTAGCAATAATGTGATTCAATCAGTTGTTCATTAAATATTATTTTCTCTATTTTTAAATACGTTCAAAATATTTTAAGAGGCGTGTAATGCAGGGTTATAAAAAGTATTTTGCACGCGCATAATAATGTACTTAAATTAGTTGTCAAATGATTTTTTTTTTTTAACAAACAATATTATTTGACTTTCCTTTAGTCAATTCACGCATATAAATACATTTAAAATGTGTAAATCACACGTAGCATGCCGCAATTCAAAAAATATCTTATGTACCCGTGTGAGCACGTGCATGAAAGCTAGTGTATATATATGATTAGTACCGTAGTAGTAATAGTAGTACACTAGTCTATGTGCGGATGAACTTTCAACTTTGTGGTTCGGTGGTGTCGGGGAATTCTTTTTTTCTTTCTTTTGGGTTGGTGGTTGTATTTGCTTTTGCATAATGATGATGATGAAACCGATGTTTACTTGCTACGTGGGTTTTGCATATTTGCACCAAAAAGAACGAGAGCAATGCAAGCTACATATAAATGGAGAAAGGTAAAAAGAAAGTTTTCTCTAGGTCACCGTCACCTTATGTAACCAATTCATTCATGTTAGCACGTGGGTTTATTTATAGATATTGTAGCTTAAAACGTAAATATGATTTGTATGCTTATATTATAACACATGAACTAAAAACTCTACATAATGGTGTGAGAGCTAAATTTTTTGCAAAGTACGATCAAGTGGTGTGTGTGAGTGTTTCTTTTTCTGTTCTTGTTCCTCGTCCTTTCCTCCATAAGCATTAAGCAGCCATCGCTTTACCTTCTCGTTATGGTGCTTCTCATTTGGACTTTGGGACATCTTGGTGGGTGCATATTATGCCTTGGATTAGGACGTTTTCTATTGAAACTTCAATTATTGCTGGAGTTTTGAGACTCCTAGTGTCCCACATTGGGGAACTTTTAGTTCCCATCACCATTTATATAGTTCTAGTCCTTTGTCCTCGTAATTAGAACTTGGACAATTTGAAAATGGATTGAAGGCTTGGGTCTTATGGTTGTGTGGATTAGGTTTGTATAAATTAGCTTAATACAATTAATATTAATTAATCAAGACAAGGGCCTTGGGGCACTTGGGGCCTAGGAAGTAAAAATTAATCCAAGTTCATTAATTTTAATTTCGGATTAAGTTTTTTAATTAACATATTAATTAAGAAATGTTTGATTAAGAGACACGGCTCTTACAAAGAGTTATGTGTTTTCAAATACACTCAACAGGTAATTGAAAAGGTATGAAACAACCTATATATTTGCAACCACAATTTCCAAATAGGATCATCTTTTTCTTCCTCTTTCTCTTCCGCACAAAAATTTCCAGAGAGTAAACACACAAAACAATTCGCTAGAATTCTATAATCTAGTGCGGGTTATAGAATTAGGTAGTTGTACCCTAGTCAAGCAGACGTTGTAGAACTACAAGCACAAGAGTGGGACGAAAATACTGTTCGTTCGAATGACATAACTTTTGTGCTAGCCTCTACCTGTGGTTAATCAAGTTAGTATCAATTTAATTATTATTGTATTTATTCATGTTATTTCATTCTGTATAGCAAGTATTTTTTGTCAATAAAGTATTTCAAGTTCTGTTATTTCTATTATTTTTATTTATTTCTGAATTGTTCTCCAACAATCTTCGAACAGTATGGAACAATCAAGAACTAAACCTTATTCTGAAAAGCCAGAGAAAAGGGTGGAGACTTCAAAAGATGGCATGAGAAAACGTTGTTTTACTTGACAACTTTGAATCTGGCTAATGTCATGCGTGAGACTGTGCCTAGTGCAAAAGGATATGATATTCATGTAGAAATTTTGAGGGCTATAGATGCCTGGAATCATAATGATTTCCTCCACATAAATTATATTCTCAATGCAAGATGATTTGTTGTATGATGTCTATGTGGTATGCAAGACACACAAGGAACTTTGGGAATCACTTGAGAAAAAATATAAAACCGAGGATGCTGGTTCAAAGAAATGTGTCGTAGGCAAATTTTTGGACTACAAAATGGTGGATTCCAAGTCTGTTGTCTCTCAAACCAAAGATCTTCAGAAAATCATCCATGACATTCATGTTGAAGGGATGGTGATCAATGAGTCTTTTCAAGTGGTGTCTTTCATAGAGAAATTGTCACCTTCTTGGAAGGAGTTCAAGAATTATCTCAAGCACAAACGTAAGGAGATGACCCTCGAAGATCTTATTGTAAGGCTGAGGAAGATAACAGAAAAAAAATGAGAAGGGCTTGGTTTCGAGTATGGAAGCCAAGGCGAATGTTGTCGAAGGAAGTTTATCAAAGTAAAAGGCCGAAATTCCAGAAAACTAAGAAGGAAAAGAACTTTTTCACTTCATGAAGTTTGGTCTTGAAATTTGGAAGAACACACCTGAGGGTGCCGCGACATACCTTGCTTAAATTCAACCAAATCTAAAATGAATTGATTAAATTTCCACTATTAGTAGACTCCTATTAACCCCAGGAACAAACCCCAAGCAATGGTTGGGGCGTCGGAGTTTGTTTGAAGTCGAATTAAGGATACCCATTTCTAGAGTTCCGACGGGTTTGGGCCAAATTGGAGCCTTTCTAGACCAAATTGGATTTGGCCACAGGTATGAAGTTTTCTCTACTCTTTGAGATCTTCATTTCTGTAATTTTTGAGAATTTTTAGAAATAATTGAATTTTCCGGCGAGTCGGTGCGGCGGCGCACAGCCAGGGAGCCGATAATTGTGTTTTTATGTGAATGTTGTTATTTTAATTATGTTTTTGAGATCAAATTGCTGCGGTTTGAATATTAGTACGATTTTGGAGTATGTGAACTACGAAAGGCTTGATCCCACTCCAGGGTACGTAGGCAGTTTAACAGTGTTAGATGCAGCCTTAAATAATCGAGAATTTCACTTTAATTGAGAATTTATTCTTATTTTGAGAACATGGCCAATTGAAGGGAAATGGAAATATCTTGAGATTATAATTGTGTGGTTGTTCAAATAATAATATTTAGGAATCATATTGGAAATAAATTTTAGTACAAAAATTTGGTAAGGTAACTATACGTTTTAATCTTTAATTAACATTGATGGTTTTGTATGTGAATGAGTTATTTAAATAAAGATTTGTGATTTAAAATTTGCTAAATAAAGTGGAGTTTAGTTTGGGCCTATCAAAAGTAATAACATTATTTCCCGAATTAAAAAATTAATTCGGGGCAGGGCATTACAGAACTGGTCGGGTTCACCATGACTCGTGAACCGACTCGGTTCCATCTCCCAATTCCGACCACCATAGATGGCGAGGTTGGTGTCAAAATGATGATCCTTAGGTCGAGGCCATTCGATAATTCTTCCTATTTCACCCCAAACATCAAGGGATTTGGCATTGATTTCACAAAACCTGCACGGTGGGGTGTGGCGGTTTTGGGTTCGAACCACACAATTCCGAAGTTAACCACATTCTATCACCACCACCCATAACATCCTCTTGAGGCCTAGAATAAAGCCCAAACAAGTTTGGGGGCAGCGGAATTGTTTTGAAGTCGGATCGAACACACCCAAATTCAAGGGTTCCATACGGTTTTAGTGGAATTGAAGCTCTTTCAGGTCAAATTAGCCTTTGTCATAGGTATAGATCGATTCTTCTCGTCGATTAGAATAAA